GATGATCTGCTCAGGTCCCTTCCGACCCTAGAAACTATTGGGTCCGCGGAGGGGGAAAAGAGGCACAGAGACCGAGTGCAGTGCAGCCCTACAGGGAAAGGAGCTGGACCCTGCCCTGTGGAGAGGAAAGGGGATGTAGCCTCACCCAGAGGGTGAACGGGGTGGGGGTGGGGGAAGTAGGTGTTACCCAGCCCCAAAGGGGAGGAATGGGATGTGAAACAACCCTGTGCAGAGAAGGGGACACGGCCAGGCCTCAACGTGGCCCCACGGGGGAAAGGGGCACGGCCCAATGGCAACAGGAGAGAAGGGGATACGGCCTGGCCCTGTAGGGAGAGGGGACGTGGTGCAGGCCCATAGGGGAAAGAGGGCATGGGCCGAGACCCAATTCACAAGCAGGGGGGCTCGGCCCCACAGGGGAAGGGGGCAGAGCTTGGCTCTGACCAGCTGCCCAGAGAATGGGGTTTGGGGATTTGGCAAGGGGAAAGAGTGACTGTATTAATGGCACTGTCCCTGCTGCCAAGTTTCCAGACCCATGGCAAACCCCGTGGACCACATACGATGGTTCTGCAGACCACGTCTGGCCTACAGGTCAGAGATCTAGCACCCTCGCTCTACGCTTACATCAGTAATACTATCACTTTGTGGGGGTGTTCTGATTTGGGGGGGGGGGCGCAGCTTGTGTGTGTGTTCCACTAACTGGCAATAGCAAGTTACCACAAAGTACCGGCAATCAATTTAGATCTGCAAGTTAAATCAGGAGGTGTCTCATTAAGTCTGAACAATTTCATTTCTTACAATTCATATTTTTTTTTTCAGATGGCTTGCACTATATTTTGAGTTGGCTGGTAAAAGATGAGCATTAATTCAGATGTAATGAATGCTTCTGAATTGAGATGAACTATGCAAAAATTTTATCTTGCTCAGAATAAATCGAAGTGGCAGTGGAACATCTGGGTTAGAATTGTCTTGCTTTTCCATGTTGTAGAATACTGTGTAAATATAAGGCTAAATGTACAAAAAAAAAATAATTGTTGGGATCCTGTAGAAAAAAGCAGTCCTGCGTCAGTGACAGTCCTGTCTGGCTCCTGTTGACTGTCACTGATGCAGGGTTGCTTTTTTCTATAGGATCTCAATGATTGTTAATATACCCCCTACCCACTGTCACATTCCACATCAAGGGAAAACAGCTACATTAGTTAAAACTGATAGAGATAGATAACACATGTTGCATTATTCATGGCTGCAAAGAAGATGCACTCAATGCATGCAATTAATTAGCAGTCCCTCCCCCTCCTCTCTGCCCCTCACAGGCAGATAACATTTCCGATGATGAGCCACAGGTGGTAAGTTCCACTTACGACTCAGGAGCTGTGGTCTCAGTATCACCGCTCTATATAAAAATACACATTCTAAATTAATAGAACTCCATACAAAAATTGTAAACGACATGCAATATAGGAAAGTGTCCCAAATGATGCTATAATAGTTATTACTGGACATCAAGTAATAGAAGTAATAAGACGCTGATAGGACATACTTTAACTGCAGAAATACAAAACTTACCTGTTGTCTGTTATATGGCTTGAAATCATTCCGTGACTGAAATAACTCCTGAATGGCTGCAAAGAGAAACACAATTTTGCTTACCCAATCAAGAAAAAGAACACAGAAAAGATTTCAGAGCATGAGATGCTGTTGATATGAATAAGAAATGAACTCAATACACAGCATAAACAACCCCAACCCACCTGCAAACTACATACATAATCACACAATTAGAAGCATTAAACCCAATAGGAACCCCTGACAAGTATTATGAGCAGATACAATGGCAGCATCTCTATGCATCCCATCTCATCGGAAATGATGTAAAACCTGTCATAAATTTAAAATCCGATTTTCCTATCAGCTGTTGTATACAATAATTCCTACTACCAAAATTAAATTAAACAGATATGTATCTGGATCTGTTAGAAAGACAGACGGCACAAGTAAAAATGTATTATCAATGGGAAAAAGGCACTCAATTTTGAATGTAGCAGTAGTGTCAAACTAGATAGACTCATGATAATAATACACTAAAGACAGCCTGCATGATACAGGTTAGGAAAGAAGGGATTCCTAAACCTACACACTGGAATAGGTAAAACGGTTTATTGCAAACATTCTCTGAATGAATCGGCAAATGTAATCTTGAAATTCAAAATGTTCATCTAATAAGCATACCTCCCCCGCCTGAGATTCGGAGAGTTCCAAGATGAAAGGAATTTCAGTATCAAAACCAGCAAAAAAGCAGGTCCACTGGTGTTCAAAAGATGTTAAATCCTAACGAAAGTGGAGGAGAAATCATTAGCTACCGTCTTGTCGGCATGGCAGTTAAGTTCACAGATAATAAACAACTAACACAACTGGAACAGTTTTATTCACATTTCAACTATGTACGCTGCCGTTTCATGACCACTTCAGAGACTGGCAAAAACACTGGACACGTCTACACGTGCGCTTTAATGTGTATTAGCCTATTTTGATGCACATGGGAAAAAAAAAAAAACAAAACACACAAAAACTGTTCTTTTGCTAATGCACATTAAAGTAGGCACATTAAATGCACCTTTTTCTAGTACCTCACGATGGGATGTACTAAGTTTAATGCACATTACCTAAAGCACATTAATGAATATGGAGATGCACACATAAGTTTTTCCAATCAAAACTTAATGTTAACTAGAACAGGGGTGGCCAACATATGAATGGTGCCACAAGTGACACAGGCAGGCTCTGTGGGGCACGCAGCAGACCAAACCGAGACGGGCAGCACAGTGGCCGATAGGGGAGAGAGCAGAAAGCAGAGCAGCCAAGCGAGCAGAAGTGGATCAGCTTGGCACTTAGGAAGAGCGTAGTGTTAACTTGTGGCATGCCTGCCGAAAAGGTTGGCTCCCACTGAACTAGAAGATCTACTTTTCATTTAAGGAAAGCATTGTTCTAAGGACTGGATACTTAACTCCAGTCTAAAAACAGGAGGATTCTTAATTTTTTTATTTTCTTTTTATTTAAAAATCTATTTTATATACACACACACACACGTGTATGCACATAAATAAACTGAAATTTTAGAAGTGTATTTGTTTTAATTTCACTCAAGAGGAGAGATAAATGGTAAACAGAAACAGTGATCCAACAAGCAAGTATTGTGCAATGGACTCAAAATAAAGGAGAGAAAGATCTATTCCTAAATATTCATTTTGAAACAATCTAACATGAAATGAAGACAGTAAGATTGTACATGAAGAGGAGAGAAAGAAGAAAAAGTAATTTCTTGTGACTGAATATTATGTTCAAGAAATAATCTTCCTACATTCCTTCACCTCTACCACTAAAGCTATGGGTTTGAGGAGCAAAGTACACGCACTGAGTATACTAAACAGCATATACAGAATGGAAATGAAATGATCCGTACAGATTAATAGGAATTTCATAAGTTGAGGAAGTAGAAGTTAAAAATCAACTACAAACAGTAAAAAAAAAAAAAAAATCTGCATCAAGTTGATGAAGCAGACGTGTGAAAACCACATGAACTGCATTACAGAATTACAATAAAAATTTTAAAGTGCTCTAAAATTATTCATAATATAAATTAAGGCAGTGGATGGTTTTCCATAGTTTTTATACATTAATCTGGAGGATCAGGGTTAAAAATATAATTATAACAAAGACTGAGTGTGCTCTTTTAAACATGGCACAAATGGTAAAAATGATAGGCCCATATTAAAATGTAGTAAGGTTATGTAGAAGACAATTCTTACAGCTATTTTATTAATGCAGTGCTAACAATGAGCTATATAAATGTATAAGACTAAATGTGTTACGCTGGCTAACCTTAACTGCATTCTTACATGGCATTTTAATGTCTCAAAAAACCTTATTATTACAGAATAAGGTGAATCTATTCTGAAGAAAATGAGTTTATCTTATAAAAGAAACTTCCAATTAGTTAGAACAACTAAGACCAACAGAGAGAGTGTCTTCCACATAAGATATTGGCTTTCTAGGGCAGAATAAACAAACATTACTTTTATTAGTTTTTTCTAGCAAGTTGCTATACTATTTACTCCAGATTTAAATCCACTTGGTATTTTGTCTGCTTATGAGACAGAATTTTAAAAGCAGAGACAGAATTTTAAACAAGTTTTTAACACTAAACCAACTACAGAGCCATTGACATTGACTAGGTTTTTACAGCAAGACTGACCTCAACAGAAGCAGAACTAGACCAAATCTGGGCACTTCTAAGAATTTCACCCTGAATCTTCAAACATTGAATAGACGCTGGATCAGTGTAACAAGAAGCTACAGTCTTACCTTTAATATGGGGGGGGAGAAGCGGAATCTAAAAGGGTACAAAAAGCATGTTCTGGTATGCAAATAAGATCTGATACCCAATTTCAAATGCCAACATTTTATTTATTTCAGTGGGATGTGCATGTGTTCAGATGTTTCAAGACAGATTCTTATTCAAAGAACAGCACCACCTTCATACGATGGAAGTCTGTCATCTCAAAACCACAATGGAAGGTACCTATTGGCAACTCTATTTGGAGAAATGGTCAGTCAATTGAACTATTCACTTCTTGGTCGCAGGCTCATTTCAGGACAACGCTGGTGATTTATGTCAAGTTGAAGTCCTATTAAAATTTAAACTGCTTGGAACAGGGATCTTCTCTTTTACATCTGTACAGTACAACAGATTCTAGATCAGTGGTCACCAGATTCTAGAGATCAGCGGTAGATCCCAGAGTCTCTTGAGGTTGATTCCCCACCCCAACCTAGCAAGTCAGTCAGTGGGGGAGCACAGATCTTGAGTCCCTTTTAAATTTCAAAAGTGATCTCCATCCTAAAAAGGTTGGAGACCACTGTTCTAGATCCCCAACTGGGCCCTCAAACTATGAAAAGCAACCAACTGCAAATACTAGAGATGTAATACAAGTTCATGTGGCAAAAAAAAGTTTGACTGACAACTTACAATTAATTAGAGAGGCCAGGAACCCAGTACGTAAGAATGACGCTACAAATCTGACAGGGTATAGGTTGTATGCGTGTTGACATGGGTAGACAACCTTTTTTGGGTAAATCTGATCTCTTTTATTAGACCATCTCAAATAGCTGGGAAGCTTGCAAAGAAGAATTTTTCCAACTGAGTTCATCTAATAAAAGATATCAGATTTACCCTAAAAACCTTGTCTGACTATAAATCTGAACCTTACAAAGAGTTAGGCTCCTTACAAGAATACAGCTCCTCTCCACCTACAGCTTTACAGTCATTGTTTTATGTTAAATTGTTCCAAAATGTATACTCCATAAGCAATGTAAGGAAGTCACTAATTTCTATTCTTCATCCTGTTCTATTATTAATAAGAGATCGGGGCTTTCAAGCATGATAACATTCTTAGTGAACTGAACTGCCTGAAAATGTACAGAAGTGCACATGCAAATTAAATTGGCTATAGTTAATCATGACTACCTTATCTAAAATCATTAGTGATACAGTCAAAAAAATATATATTTAAAACTGCTTTGGACCTATTCTAGTTTTAGGTAATTGAAGCACCACACTGGAATAAATTAGGCAGAATATACAGAAAACTTGTTTGAAATTTCTCAAATTCCTTTCATACTGGATTTAGAAAGCCAATATGAAGCCTCAAACTGGGGTTCGTGTCCACGAACCCCAATTGCCAATAGAAATATGCTTCTAGAATATTACTGCTAACTTAAGCTCTTTGAGACACTTTAAGCTACCTCCTTAGAAAACGAGACTTATTAAAAAAATAATAAATGTGACCACTGTGTGTCACTCTTGGTCTACTTCACTAGAAAGAAGGTATAAATCAGTATGAAAATTACTTTTTTTGTGATAAAATTGTTTTTGTTGTAAGACATTCTTTTAACAAACTGAAGAACTGTTATCAAAACTATGCTGTGCGCACAGTGCTGGGATCTAAAGAATACCTAGCAAATGCATTTAATTGTAAGAATTTTCTCCATAGGCTTCACAAGGCATTAAGTAAAGCATCATTATAGTGCCAAATGACTTCATGAAAGGGGAAAAAAAACCCCCAAACAAATGAAACAAAAACCCAGAAATCCACAAGCCAAGAGTAAAGGGAGCAAGCACACTTCAGCAGGCTGCATTATATAACCAAACCATTTTGCTGCTTAGATGCACTATTTAAAAGTGACACTCTCTCTCTAAAAATGAGCTAATTCAACAAGTCAAAAGGTTTCATCTGCATTACCTCAAAAATCAAGTCCTCCAGGGAAACAAGATCCATTTTGCTGTATGTTTTCCACAGATCAATACTGACATCCATTAACTGAAAAAAAGACATTTTTTTTTACAACAAAAAGCACAAAAGAAGTGTTATGTATACAGGTTTACACTAAATTCAGTACCGAGATGTGAAGTTTTAAAAAGCTAGTCCTGAGAGTATTAGAGTTTACAAAAAGTGGTATGAAAGGGTTGCCAATTTGAAACCGAATGCAATCTACACATTCTGAAATAATCACCACTGTAAAATTGATTTCCTTCATGCTGAGTGATAACATGTAACAGATTCACAGCTTTATTTGAAACTTTCTGGACAATCCATATCCCCAAAACTTTCCAGAGTCAAACATAAGAATGAATTAATTGGTGAGAAAAAGAGAGATATTACTAGGCAAAGCCAAAGGGCAAGAGAGGTAAGATTTCAGATAAGAGTCAAAGTGAAATAAGAAAAACTGGAACTGCACATTAGGTAACGCTTTCTACAACTGGAAGGGCTGGGGGGCACACACATACTGAACTAAAGGAAAAGGTAACTGATATATTTCCCTCTATAGGTATAGGGATCCTGGTTTTCTCTAGTTAAAAAACAAAACAAAACCCAAATTCTCTGATAAAAGTCCCAAATTCTCCAATTTAAATCCCCAAATCTGTATTTTTAAAATGAAACGCAGAGAGAGGGAGAGGGAGACGGATCAGTTGAACAACTTTTTATTGATACATTTAGAATTTTAGAGCAATTGAAATTGCTACCACTGCCCCAATAATTATAATAAAATCAATTCTAAATACCTATATATTTTGGCCTTTGATCTCGGTTTTATTTTTATGGAAAATCTGAGGCCTCCCTGCCCCCTTGCTACCCAGAACATGGGTTAGGGTTAGGGGGTCCAGCTGTACCTGCCCTCCACCCCACCCCCTGCTTTGGGGCTCTGAGTAGCCCTGATGTGTCAGTGCCCCTCACTCCCAACCCATTGTCCCCTGCCCCCCCAGTGCCCCTCACTCTCTAGCCACAGCCCCCCACCTCCACTGGTGCCCCTCATTCCTGACTCACAGGCCCCCCCAATACCTGCTGGTGCCCCTCACGTCCGACCTGCAGCTCCCTGTCCCTGCAGCCCTGCTGGTACCCCTACCAGGGCTACAGGACCTGGCAGCTGTATCCTGCCCACGGGTGCCAGCTGCAGCCAGCCAGCAGCACCTGAGGCCCGCCTGCTACACACAGGAGGTGGCAGCCACTGCAGCCAGAGCCGGGGGAAGACCATGGACGCCACCCAACTCCCACCCCAGTAGAACAGCTAGAGTGGAGCCAAGCAGACCTCATGGGGGCCAGAGGAGGGTGCAGGCTGCTCACTGCGAGGCTTGAGGCTCCCTGCCCTGCTGCCCTTCCCTCGGGTGCTTCTGCAGCACAGTGGGCAAGACCTGGCATAGGAGGGTGGAGCTGAGTGGGGAGACGCAGTTCTGCTGCCACTGGGAGTCCTATACCACCTGCGCTGCCATGGTGAGGCACCCCCTGCCTGCCAAGCAGCAGCAGAGGTGGGAAGGGGGGTGCACCACAGCAGCATGGAGTTGTGGCCCTTTGTTGCTGCCAGGTGGGCAGGTGGAGTCTCACTTTGGCAGCACGACTGGCATGTCAGCACTGAGATTTCCACGCAGAAATCTGAGGGGACACACGCCCCCCCCCCAATGCGTCACCAATGAGCAAACCTAGACCATGCCCGAAGGGTCCCCAAACCCTGGCCCTCCAACCCCCTCATCCCATAGAGTTATCATTATCCAGCTGCCAGGCCTGTTGCCACCACCCTGCCTGGCTACATTGCTGGTCATAGGCATGAGCACTCACATGCACGCATGGTACCCCCTGCCTCCAAATCACCCTCCTCCCCACTCCCCCCAGCCCCAAGCAGCCCCTTGCAAGCTGGAACTCTGCCAACCTGCAAGCAGAAACCCACGCTTTCCTACTTCAAGGGGGAAAAGCCGGGGGGGGGGTTCTTTAAAGGGGAAAATCCACCTTTTTCCACAGGAAACAGAAAACCCTGGTAATCAGAAATGTCAGTCACCCATTCAATTAGAAATATTAAAACCAGGAATGCTGACATACATAACTGCTTTCTGTATTTTTGTATATTTTAATGATGAATTAAAATGAAGCTTGAACTGAAAGTTTAAGTGACTGCTTTAATTAATCATTTCAGTTACTATTTTTCCTGGATCAAGCAGCACAGACAGACTTATGACTTGTCAACTGTCATCTTCTCAACATACATACTGAGCATACCTATACCAAATTCTCTAAATAATAATGCCAGGAATACTGCCACGTTTGTATCATCACATACTTCAATGTTATGCTAGCATAACATTTTAAGACTAGAATAGCAGTATTAAAAAAAATTAAGCAAGTTCATTGTAAATTGAATAAAATAGGGTTAAGAGGCTCCACTTTTCCACATATAGGAAAGGTACTACTAGAGTCTGAAGAGCTAAAACTAATGGAGAACAATAAACTCTCAGGAAGCTGGTAACATCTTTATTAAAAAAAAAATCTACCAAATGACTTCCCAAAAGCATTACTTGTTCCCACTGGTGACGTACAGCAGCTGTTTAACAGCTGACAATGCCAAACAAGTATAGCAGAAGTTAAGTTTCTTATTTCCACCATAAAATCACAAGGGTTTTTTTTAAGGAGGAAGAATATAAGAACTCATATTGGAATTTAGCTGAAATGCCTTGTTAAGTATTTCTTCTTTAAAAGGAGCAACAGAAATTATCAGAACCCTTGCTTTTCATCTTCCAGAGATCTAACACCACAATGCTCTACCTTTATATAATTCAATATAATTTCAAGTGCCATCTATATTCCTTAGAAGCCTCCTATAGAGTCATAGTTTTCCTGGCCCCAGAGAAGCCAGTGCCAAAACACTTCTTATCTACTTACAACAAAATCAAGATTTTACCAGTAAATTTTTAAATCCAGAAGAGAAAATTATTTCGTTATACCGCTGTTATGCACAGACCTATAAAGAACTTGCTTAGTTTATGGGAACAGACAGGTGCATAGAACAAGATTACATGTCTGCTCTAATGATGGTAAAAGGAAATGAGAAAAGGCAAGTATGAGGATTTCAGCAGAGGAATGAAAGCAGGAGAGTATATGAATTAAGCAGAAAGATAAGCAGGCACAGAAGTAGTCACAGAAGGGACAAAAATGTTACTTCAGCAAGACAGTGAGGGGTTATAAAAGTTATCAAAACAGAAACAGATGACCAATCATTTCTTACTGCTGGTAAAAGTGACGATAGCCAAAAAAAACAGGAAGGGGGGGGGGGGAGGCCAACAATGATGCCAAGTGGAACTCAAAAAAGAGAAGAGAATCCACACGTGGAGATCAGGAAGACTGTAATAGCAAAACAACAGAACGATGGCCAGAGAAAATTAGGGAGGTTTGCACAGCTCTGGAGGTGGTCCAGGAAGAAGAAATGAAATGAGAAACAGATTACAGAGGAAAACTCTGTGTAAGTATTTAGGGTTGTTGGTTGTAGCCATGTTGGTCTAAGGACAAAGGCAGACAAGGTTCTTTGGGCAGATGTGATATCTTTTATTAGACAAACTGAAAAGATGGAAAAGATTTGCCTTTGCAAGCTTTCGGGCACAAACACCCTTCTTCCTTGCTTTGTGCCTGCAAGTTTGTGAAGAACAAATTTTCCCAACTATTTAGTTGGTCTAATAAAAGATATCACATCTACCCAAAGAACCTTGTCTGTCTATGCAAGTATTACATATAGCACCCTGTTCAAATTTGCTGACAACACTAAGATGTGGGGGGAAGCAGGCACGCTA